ATATATATATATATATATATATATATATATATATATATATATATATATATATATATATATATATATATATATATATATATATAATATCAAAGTGTTCAGTGAGGATCCACAAGGTCTTCTCTGAGTACTCTTTATTTTCTTCTCCGAGGCTATGGGTCCCTACACTTGCACCAGAGGTGGTACCCCTTCTAGGTTATATATATATATATATATATATATATATATATATATATATATATATATATATATGTTTTATTTCAACTTTGTTACAAAAAAGGAGTTAAATATAGGGTACAAAGTTGATTATCATAAGTTGTAGAGTTCCTCCAGCTCCTCAGATGGTGGGCTGGAACCCTGAATGCAGTGTGCATTTCCCCTCTGTATCGCCACGCTGAGGCGCTGGAAAATGATCCTGCTCCTGCAAACCCATACTGCTTCTTGCAGCAGGTTTGGGTCACTTCTGGGGTGTGAGTTTTCAGTTGCATATATGCCTGGAGACCGTTCAGGCTTGTTAGCATTTGTGTTCCTCACGTGTGCCCCAAAGAATGAGGTGATTTGATAAAACACCATGCCCAAGATTACCAACAGAGTGTCGGCGGGGGGGATGGGGAATTAGACTCGGCTACCATCCTCTTGTCCGGGCGTGTTGGTCGAGTGGTTAAGAGATCCTGTACATCAGTTGCATTGCTTCTGGCAGTATGGGTTTGAGTCACTTCTGGGAGTGTGAGTTTTCAGTTGCATATATGCCTGGAGACCGTTCAGGCTTGTTCGCATATATATATATATATTAAAACAAAATGTGTCATATATATGATGTATTACACATTTACGAATTTTCGGTCAAGTACGTATGAGTGCGAGCGTAAACGTTTGCCGGGTTGTAATAGTGTGTGACACAGGTACTGTGCCAACCCCAGCCCGTACACGCGTGGCGAGACAGCTACACGAAACGTAATTTAATTTCAGTTGCCATGTGCTTTAGACCTGAACTGAAACTTTCCTGTATCATGATAACAGAATTTGATGCATGAATAGAGGCATGATAACTGAATATTGCATGAATGAAGGCATCATAACAGAATATGATGCATGAATAGAGGCATGATAGGTGAATATTGCATGAACGAATGCATCATAACAGAATATGATGCATGAATAGAGGCATGATAACATAATATAATTCATGAATAGAGGCATGATAACAGAATATCTAGTGTGAATTTTATTCTTTTCTCAGGTCTATTAAATTGTGTTGCAGTTCTATAGTACTGCCCTTAGGCTGCTCAAATTAAGGCTAAGAGATAATTTTTTGGTTCAGTTCCTGAGGAAATCCTTGTATATATGTGCTTCTGTAACCTATTCCTCTAGCACTCATAGGATGTATACGGGTTACATAATAAATGCACTACGCTAAACGAAACGTTGAAGACGTGGTTGGCACAGAGCCAATATGGACAAGCATTCTGGTAATTCACGCTGCCTGGGAGTCCTTGAATATTTCCGCCCATTACCCTTACTAAAAGTGCCAGAGGTGTTTTCTGCACACTTTATATTGACCACAAGTGCAACACAGAGCCAGAGCTGTGGAAAATTTGTTTGTATTTTTAGAGAATATATATTTGTTTTCAAGCCCTCAAATTCGTTCTAGACAAACTGCAAGCTTAGAGTAGGCTCGATAAAGAACACGCCACTTAATCACCAAAATATGTGCCTTTACAAATACATTAGAGGCAGCACAAGCACATGTCGATATTGAAAGAGCTAGGTGTCTTAACACTTATGTGAGAAATACGTATATACACAGGACACGGTAGTTATAGGATGCAGTCATCGTGAGGCTAAAATGCACAGATGCAAATAGAAGCAAACATGGCATCCGACAGCTTCACTTACTTCACAGATGGATCAGTAGACCGGCAGGGACAAGAAACCGGAGCTGCAGTTAAAGCAGGAAACTGTAAATAGTTGGAGGCTCTTAAATGGGTGTTCGACTTTACAAACAGAGATGCTAGCCATATCTTGAGATGATTTCGGGGCTTTTTAGTGTCCCCGCGGCCCGGTCCTCGACCAGGCCTCCACCCCCAGGAAGCAGCCCGTGACAGCTGACTAACTCCCAGGTACCTATTTACTGCTAGGTAACAGGGGCATTCAGGGTGAAAGAAACTTTGCCCATTTGTTTCTGCCTCGTGCGGGAATCGAACCCGCGCCACAGAATCACGAGTCCTGCGCGCTATCCACCAGGCTACGAGGCCCCCCTATACAGGCCTTTTGAAGGCCATTCAAAAGGCTTTGGAACATGCTCTTGCTGAACACCGACAACATGTTTTCGTACATACAGATTCGAGAACCGCCATTGAAACATTGCAACAAGAACACATATGTGATAACATACATCTGATCACAAATGATTTTTTTTTTTATCATTAATGCAAACACTCAAACGATAAGGACGACGGGTACTTATCAACTGGGTGCCAAGTCATGTGGGAATAATAGGAAATGACATTGCAGACAAAGCTGCAAAACTTGCAACTAATAAATAAATAAATAAATGTTTATTCAGGTAAGGTACATACATACAAGAGATTTTACAAAAATGGATAAATTTATAGATAGAGCTAGTACATACAATGCCTAAAGCCACTATTACGCAAAGCGTTTTGGGCAGGAAAAACATTAATGACTAAAACTTAATACTAATTGAGTATAAAGAATAAAATGTGTTGAGAACAAATAAAAATAAAAAAGGGGAGAACATGGCAGAAAAACAGCAAAAAATACAATTTGGTCGACAAACAGCATTGTTTAAAAATAGCAGACATGGGTTGACATTATAGGGGTAAGGTAAGTTACAGGGAGTTAATTAGGTAGTGCTTAGTTTTTATCTTAAACTGGTTGAGAGGGGTACAGTCTTTAACATAATTGGGAAGGTCATTCCACATTCTGGGTCCCTTGATTTGTAGAGCATTTCTAGTTTGATTAAGTCGTACTCTTGGAATATCAAAAAGGTATTTGTTTCTGGTGTGGTGCTCATGAGTTCTGTTACAACCTTCAATGAAGCTTTTAAGGTAACTAGCATATAATACAATAAGTTTTAAGTTTACCTTAAGAACGCGGTTTTGTACCTCAAAACCGGTTTGTGCGTTCGATTATGTTTTTGGACGTTGGAATGTGTTTGCTTTACACTGGCGAGCGTTGTTCTTATGAAATCAAGATTATGTCTTGTCACATCACTCAAATTCACTTAATAACTATATGCCTGCTAAGTAGAAGATTTTACCTGTTGATAGTATTATATTGTCTTTTAATAGTGATTAATAATTTGTATAAGGAACGTACAAATTTTGTGTGCGAAATGGTGAAAACACGTGTGCGAGCCGTCTTGTGTACCAAGTGACTTGTGTTCTTGTTGGTGTCTGAGGAGGTCGGTGACCGGGAGCTGTAGGGCAACCCTGTGTGGTGTGTGACTTGTTGCTTGTGTATCCCATACTGGTCCCGTGAGCAGTTGTGTATTGTGCACCCCATACTGGTCCTGTGAGCGGTAGTGTATTGTGTGTCTCAGACCCTGTTGGAATATAACCAGTCTGTCAATCGGGTCAACCCAAGTGTTGCGTTTCCAAAAGGGTCGCCCATGTTGGAATCGGTGAACGCCCTAGTAATATTGTTGAAAACATCTTAATTAACTTATTAAACCAAAGGTCTTTTTATGTCAGAAGAACGGCAGAAATACTCATCTATATATGAAAACTCTTTCAGGATAAAATTTAAAGTAAAACTAGATTATGTAAAACTAGATTAAAGTAAGATTATGTTTCTATCTTTCTTGAGACGTATAAAAATCTTACGTTTATTAACGATTCTGCGTGAAATAAGCATTGTTCTGAGATGAATATTGCGGATTTCCGGCTCTACGACCGATGAAAAATGCAACTTTTATACAACTACAAATATCTTTAGTTTTACTTTAAATTTTGTCCTGAAAAAGTTTTCATATATAGATCCAGTTTCTGCCGTTCTTCTGACATAAAAAGACCTTTGGTTTAATAAGTTATTAAGATGTTTTCAACAATATTACTAGGGCATTCACCGATTCTAACATGGGCGACCCTTTTGGAAACGCAACACATGGGTTGACCTGATTGATATATGGGTCAGATTCCATTAAGGTTCGGAACATTGTGCACCCCATACTGGTCCTGTGAGCGGTAGTGTATTGTGCACCCCATACTGGTCCTGTGAGCGGTAGTGTATTGTGCACCCCATACTGGTCCTGTGAGCGGTAGTGTATTGTGCACCCCATACTGGTCCTGTGAGCGGTAGTGTATTGTGCACCCCATACTGGTCCTGTGAGCAGTAGTTTACTGTTGTATCTCATGAACATCTTTTTTGTACATTTTTTATTTTTATTTTTTCTGTACAGAAAAACTGTTTTTCTGTATTGTATTGTTTAAACAGCACAAAGTGTGTTGTTGGTGGTACGAAGGGCAGCAACGGAACCCACCGAGTGTACGTGCCCTGCCAGTCTAAAATGAATTTATTTTTATTCTATATACTGTACCTTACAGGAGTTCTTACATTCTTGTACAGCCACTAGCACGCATAGTGTTTCGGGCAGGTCCATAATCCTAATTTTCACTGGAATATGACCTGCCAAATCATTTAACCAGGTACCCATTCATTGCTGTGTGAACAGAGGCTACAGTTAAGGATTGGTACCCGGTCAATCCTCCCCGGCCAGGATACCGACCCAGGCAAAAGTGCTTGTGAAGCACCGGGCGAGTGTCTTGCTACTGTGCCACAGGGACTGATTGTAACGTTTTGGTGGTTGCCCTCCGAAAATATCTGTAACTGCTGTTATATATTTAACTGGCTAAGAAATTGTTTAAACATTTGCATTGTTAGAATAATTTCTTCTAAGAAACATTTGTGGCAACATATGAATCACATATACTATTGTATTAATAAAAAACAGAAGTGTAATCTATTGTTTTTAATTTCAGATCCATAAATACTTTACACTTGAAGTTTCACAAATCTGATACCACAGACTCCATAATGGAAGAACAAGAAGTAAAGGAGGTACAGTATTGTATGCATTGTTTATTTTACAAATTAAGATTTAGTAAATGAATGTACAGTAGTGTAAACTCCAAACACTGTATTCAGTGTTGCATTAGATTTGCTACATAGACAGGTATAATATGGACAAATATAATAAAATTTCCAAGACATGCATAAAGTATATAAACTAGAATTGGATACATGTGAAAATAATATGGTTAGTACCTGTATTCAAATACTGTAAATGGAACCCATGGCAGATCAAAATTCAAAACAAATTCAAATTTTTATTCAGGTAAAAGTACATACATAGAAGATGTTACGAACATAATATTGTATGTACTAGCTCTATCTATAAATCCAATACTGTACCTAAAGCCAATAATACACATAGCGTTTCGGGCAATCGGTTGCGTATAACATTCGGGCATATCAGTTATAACATTTGCAGGCAGCCTTGAGCCGTGTCTGTATCCCGGCATCTTGTGTTCCATGCCGTGGGAACCATGTTCAATGCCATAATATCATGGCATTCAACATGGCAAAAATCTCTTGTGTTCAATGCCATGCATCATGGGAACCAGTGAGAATTGAGATCTGATTTTGATATACAGTGTAACATGATTCAGTATTATAGTTTGTATTGGTGATTTTCCCTGTGATTTAGTTACTGTGCTGTATTTTCCCGTGTAAAGAACAGTGATTTTTATGCATCTCTCTCTCTCTCTCACTCTCTTTCTCTAGACACATCATATTGCACTTAATATTACCCTTTGTAGGTTTTTAAGAGTTTTTACAGATATCAAATTACATATTTGCAAAATATGTTATTTTGGAAAATGATACTTAGGCAAGGCAGTCATACATGCACAGGGTAGGCTAGCCACATTCTTTACAACCCATAGAGGTTGCAACTTGATAAATACTGTATCAAAAAATCCATTACTGTCACTGCCCTTTTCATTATCACAAATCCTAATATACTAACACCACTACATAACTCTCATAAGCATTACACCAGCTTGTATTCTTTACACTTTCTCTGAAGCCATTATTTTTCCATTCATTACAGTAGCTGTACTTAGTAAAGCACCCTGTAATCATTGTACTCCCTGTACTCATTATATCACTCTACATGTATATACAGGGTACTGTGATATATTGACCACTTGATACCATTCCAGAGTGTCTACATGCAATTGGCATTCATATACAATAACTGTTGTCTTTGTTATAAACCCCTGAGGAGCTACCAGAAAATTAATAATATCCCTCGGTATGTTGTTGGTGACTATTATTATTAATAATAGTTATGAATTTAATACACTTTAACTACAGAATTTACATCCAGTATATTATACTGTATTGTTTGCTATTTTCAGTAGGATAGAGTACCGAGACTCTTCCAACTAAATATTTAACACATTTTACAATACTGTATATCATTGACAATACTGTACTGTATTCGGTGAGCTTTTTTTGCTTGTCAACTCTTACGTTCATTCATTTTATTTGCAGACAATGCTGATGGGCAGAGACATAAGCCATATGCCATGCTTCCGTCAAACATTTCTCTACAGTATTAGCTCTGGGCTTGCAGTTGGTTTCCTCAATTTCATGCTGACATCAAGAGTCCAGCGCTCGGCACATTTAGCTTTCGGCACATATGGATGTGTTACATTAGCATACTGGTAAGTTACTCTATTTACATTTTATACCAGTAAATTTTCGTTTTCTAAATATCTACACATGCACAAATTAATTTATATAGTGTATGTATTTATATACTGTATACAGGGACCTATATATACCTGCCAACCAATCACCTTGAGACCAAGGTGTACTGTAATTGTAAAAGGGGTCTTGATCAAGTAAGGGGGGGGGGGGAAGTTTCCAATCCTCACACCTTTCCAAAATATTTGAGTACAGGGTACTAGTATACTATAGTATACAAATATGCCATGTTAATAACAAAAATGGTATTCACTAATGTGTTCATCTCCATGAACAATTTGTTAATTATGTCTAGGTATAGGCTTACACTTGCCTATTCTTAGGATTGATCACTGGATGCCATGATCACCTTGGTCTCACTTTGGCTTGTACAGTACAATGATTATTGATACCTTGATTATTCAGACCAATTGATATCTCTGAATGGTCAGATAACTGAAAATCTGCTTACTGTTATTAATTAAAAAATCACAGGACAATATTTCAGCAATTTGTGTTTTTTACCGTTTCTTTTAACACGTGTCAACTCTCCTCTTCTGGGGGGGGTGGGGGTTAACAGAGCAAAATTTAACATTATAGAAGAGAGAAAGAGGGGGAGGGGGGTGTTTGTGCAATGAAAAAATGAGCCCAAGGTCCTGAGATGCAACACCACTGGCTGGATCTTCCAACCTAAATTGCACTGCAAGGTATATTTACCAACCTTGACTTGTCCAAACCGAACACTGAATTTGGCAACCTCCAGGCACCTAAGAAAACTGGAATACCACACAGAGGAACAGCTGCCCTCACATTACTTCTGGTAATGGCCTCCATCAGGGTGAGGGAAAACTGGCTAACCTACTTGTTGTCATGTATAACACTCCTGTTTACATAACATGACTGGCCACAATCGTCACAAATATCAATGTGTTCTCCATCTCCCCACACAGCTTCCCACTTACCTCTTCCTAGCCATATTTGAGTTTCTTCAGAGGAATTTGTGGTCACCTAAGTAGGTTAATCATGCTTCCACCACTTCCTGGAAAGGGATTCCTCTTTCAGATTTCTATCCAGTCATTTTTGGAATCTGTGACTGTTGGGGTTTTTGGGCTGGTATTGCAGGTACTAAACTGTGTGCTCTTGAAAGTGACCTTACACATTGGTCTTCTTCCTACCACCATAATAGATGATGGGAAATGGCTTTTGCTAAGTTGCATATCAGTCATACCAATTTAGCTCATGGTCACTTAATGGAACACTATCCTGCTCCTTTTTTTCCTGAACTGCGTAGTCCCACTTAACCATGCACCTCTTTGTAGAATGTTCTAGTTTTCAGGAAAATTGTATGTTTTGCTTTCCTAATGTCCCTCAGAGCCATTTGTCCCTCGATAGAATCCTTGGTGAATCCGATACCTTTGATATTGCTCCCTTTGTGTTTTTGTTCTCTTATTGGCATCATGATTGATATTTAACCCTTTTGGAATATCCAGTGACAACCATGGTGCTATCTTCCCAGCTTGGTGCCATCTTTTGATAATTACTTGCTGAATTCCCACTTATCTCTTAGTCAAATGGCAGAAACTCAAATGCTAAGCTATAATCGCTGCCATTGGACATTTAAACTATTTTTCTCCATGTGCACAGGAGCAATAACACACTCATGAATATGCATTATATTTACTACATATAATATTAATCCTGGGCATAATTACATGTATAACAAACATTAGTTAGTATCCTCAAAATCTAGCCATATGAACTGAAGTCATCTTTCTGCACTCCACGGGCTGTCGTCTTTGTAGCTTGGTGCACACTTTCCACACTTCTTGTCATACAAATTGTGGAAGCCTCGCTAGGATGCTGCTCCTTTTTGGTTGTTCAAATGTTATCTTGAACACTCGCAATAATGTTGTCATTTTGTCAATCCAAGCAAAAAAATACTATGTATAAGTATATAAAAGTAGGCAAGTAGAAAAAACACAACTGTATACCGTATAACCTATAGAGATTTTTTGTGGACTTGTGTAACGCTCTTATACAAGCCTCGCACACCTTTCCTGAATTCTTGAAGGAAATGGTTGAAGGAGAAATATGGAAAGAAAGCAAGAGGAAAGCCAAGAAGTGGATATAACAATGCTACAGAGACGAGTGTAATTTTAAATGAATGCTGCCGAGACAAATGAGAGGCTTGAGGAGCATCATTTAAGTTTCAATTAGGACATACTTGTGCACTATTACTTGGAAATCTTGACAAAGTTGATGTGTTTTTACTTTTGCAGGTCATACTGTCGGTACAACTTCTCAAAGGAGAAGTTTAACATGGGCCTGCTCCAGGGCGCTATGCAAAAGCAAGTTCTGTATGAAGGCACTGAAATGGAAAAAATAGTTAAGCAAAATTGAGTAATAAATGTATATACTGTACATATTTATTATATAATTATATATATAATTTTTTTTTTTAAATAACCTAGAAGGGGTACCACCTCTGCAAGTGTAGGGACCCATAGCCTCGGAGAAGAAAATAAAGAGTACTCGGAGAAGACCTTGTGGCTCCTCACTGAACACTTTGATATTTTCTTCTCCTACCTCCCCTATTCTTTTGGTGTGTGTGTGTGTGTGTGTGTGTGTGTGTGTGTGTGTGTGTGTAATAAAAATACATATACATATACACACACACACACACACATATATATATATATATATATATATATATATATATATATATATATATATATATAAAATATAAAATATTGGGTGAGGTGGGTACATAAGAATAAAAGTAACTGCAGAGAGCCTATTGGCCCATATGAGATCTTGAAGGGGTAGTATGTAGTTATGCCAATTAACGCATAACTACATTCTACCCACTTTATGACCTCGTATGGGCCAATTGGCCCTCTGCACCTAGTTTCATTCTATATAATATAATTATATATATAATTATAATAAATAGTTTACATCCCATTGATGTAAAATTGTTTACATTTTTACATGAGGCAAGCTCAGTTTTGATTACCAGCTGCTGAAGCCTCACTGGTTGAAGGCACTTGGCTTGCCTGTGAGGCCTCACTGGTTGAAGGCACTTGGCTTGCCTGTGAGGCCTCACTGGTTGAAGGCACTTGGCTTGCCTGTGAGGCCTCACTGGTTGAAGGCACTTGGCTTGCCTGTGAGGCCTCACTGGTTGAAGGCACTTGGCTTGCCTGTGAGGCCTCACTGGTTGAAGGTCCTTGCCTTGCCTGTGAGGCCTCACTGGTTGAAGGTCCTTGCCTTGCCTGTGAGGCCTCACTGGATGAAGGTCCTTGCCTTGCTGTTCTTACAAAATAAGAATCAAGTTTAGCTTGTCTTCTGTGTTCATTGGCCTCTCTTTTTTTTTTTATGATCAGCTCTTTGGTTTGCCTCAGGTACTGATACATGTTTCCAACTTCTGGATTAACACAGTTGGATGAAAAATTAATTAGTCCATCAACATAGGACATGAATACAATGTGTCTGCCCAAAATGCTATGCATGTTAGTGGCTTTACAAGGATGTAAAAACATCAGTGCTATGTACTCTCATAAACCCAATGTACCCTCTTGAATATAAATAAATAAATGTATTTTGTGGTCTGAGGTGTTGGTTCTCTCATCCTCTGCCTCTTCAACCACCTCACCAGCAACAGAGTGGAGAATCACTTCTTCGCTCATCACATCATATCCTGGGTCATTGTCATCTTTTTTCAAGACAATCGACCACATCCTGTCTGTCTAAATTTTCGCCAGCATTTCTGAACATTCCATGGATTTCATCTGTAAATCCTCCAAAATTTATTTCTTCATCCTCCTCATTGTTGACTGTACACGAGTTTTTTTCCAGGAATTCTTCAAAGTCAATTCCTTTACTTCACTCCACACCTTTGGCCCAGTTATAGATTGCTTCCTTAATAGAATAGTTCTTCAAATTCTCAAGGGTTCTTTTAGCCCTGTTATCCATGCCAAGTTTTACATTTTCCTCGAGAGGCAAAACAACCAAAACTTTGCTAAGCATCTTTTTAGTGTACAACCTCTTCGTGGCACAGATAACTCCCTGATCCATAGGCTGGATGAGAGAGGTTGTATTAGGAGGAAATGTTGACCAGACCACTCATTAGAAGGTGAAGGGACGACGACGTTTCGGTCCATCCTGGACCATTCTCAAAAGTCGATTGTGAGTCAGTCCCAATTGACTTGTGAATGGTCCAGGACAGACCGAAACGTCGTCGTCCATTCGCCTAATAGTGTGTGGTCTGGTCAACATACTTCAGCCACGTTATTGTGACTTATCGCCTACCTTAGGAGGAAATGCCATACATATTATCTTACCATCATGTAAGGTTAATGTGTCATACAACCCTCACAGTCGGGGAACGGCGCCACATAAATCAGGAGATGCCGAGACCACGCTGACGCGAAGAGGTCCACCTCTGCCAGACGTACGGGTGCCTAGAGTCAACTGAAAGAGTCTGCGTCGACTGTCCATTCCATGGACAGGGGAATGAATCAGGACAGGCTGTCTAGGATGTTGGACATGAACTGCCTGGAGAGCCAAACCCTGAGAATCTAGCAGACGAGTCACTCGAAGTGTCCACACCAGCCCCAAAGAGGCAAGGACCAAAGAGAACAGTCCAAGTGAACCCAGATCGTCGACCACCGAGCGACGCGAATTCTCTGAAGCGACAGCCAAACCAATGAGAACTCCCGTACTGTGCTGCGAGCCTGATAGAAGGATGGACCCTACCGTCCCTGAACAGCCTGGCGAGCACTAGTTACAAAACCCCAGCCGACTCATCCGTGAACACATCGAGCAAGGGGTTCGGGTAGGCGCCAAGGCACTGAACCCCGAAAAACCTGAAGAGCAAGCTGGCAACGCAGCAACTGACGCAAGGTTCCCGGAGGCCAAATCCAGTGATCGCGAAAGAGAGGTGGAAGGGAGGACTCCGAAGGAACCAGAACAGACACCGAAGCCAGACCTGACCCGGTGGGTAAACCAGCACGGCGAAGTTCAGACTCCCACACAACTGCTCGAGCAACTGCCGAGTGACCCCGGAACCCGAAGGTGGGACTGCAGCAGCAGCAACAACTCCGTAGCAAGAGAAGAAAACAGTCCGAGAGTCCTACACAAGACCCAGCCAGGTCCGAACCTGGGACGGAACCAGAGGGGACTTCCTCCAGTGCACCAGGAACTTGAACCCGGCAAGCTGGGAAAGAACCACACCCCCTGGTGAGCAGATGAGCAGACCGGCTGGGAGTCCACACCAACCAGTTGTCGTGGTAGACCAGAACCTGAACCGTAGCAGTACTAGACGGGTCACCACGACCTGGGTAAGACGCGTGAACATACGAGGTGCCAGATTCAAGCCATAAGGAAGGCAACAAAAGCGATAAGCAAGACGCCCCCACAACGAACTCGATCATCCCTGAACCCCGGTTGAATGGTAATGCGCCAATATGCGCCCCCGAGGTCCAGGGACCCCCATCCAGGCACCCAGCTCCAACAGAAGCTGCACCTGAGACAGGGCAGTCATCTGAAAGGGGGGCAAGGAATCCAGGGGTTCAGATGGATAAGTCCAGAATGAACCGCAGATCCGCACGGTCCCATTTCGGCACTGGAACAGACGGGAAACCCACCTGAAGAACGGGGTCATGTCGACCACACCCAAGTACAGACTTCAAGACGGAGTGGGTGGGGATGAAGCTTGCCCCATCAGCCCCAGAACCCTTGAAGGAAGAGCCGCCGCCACCCAACTCCACCACAGGTCGGAGGACACGACCTGAACGCCCATGAATTGTGGGACCAGGCATGAGCAAACAGAGTGAGCCTCTTCCCCCCTATCTGTGCTCCCACCCTTTTTGTCTCCACGAAAAAAAAATATTTGTAAATAAAATAAGAAAAATAAAAGAAAAGCAAGAAGCCGGCTTGCAACCAGAGCAAGTAGCACGCCGGCCAGACGAACAAGGCATTGGAGGAGGGACCAGCACACAAGCTGCACCAAAGGCCCACCTCGACAAACAGAAGCTGAAGCCCCGACACAACCACAAAACATGTGCCAAGACCCAAGAAATGCAGTCTGCAAGCCAGGAAGACCCAAGAACCCCAGAAGAGGAAAATCCGGGTTGCACAGGAGGTAATCAAGGGCCTCCAGAACCCCCAAACGGGATCCAAGAGGAAGAAAACCTCCAGAATGAAACAGAAGAGCCCAAATGAACCCGGAACTCACCTGGGTGAAGGGGAGGGGGAGCCCAAACCACCACATTTGCTGGCAGAAACTGCACCACAGAAAGGAAGGGAAAAACACATTAACCAGACTGAACTCCCCCCAACCCCTTTAAACGGCCATAAATGAACCGAAAAACAAGGGACGAAAGGCGTGGGAGCAAGCAGCCAGGGACACCGGTCCCAAAACCCAGACAGAAAACACAAAACCAGGAAAAAAACACCCAAGCATTCCCAGAGGATTAGAAATCAGGGAAGGACACCCGAAAAAAAAGAAGAAAAAAAAAACGAGGAATGGCAACAGGAGGATAAAACTACTGATGGAAGCAAAAAACTCCACCTTTCCTCCTCAGGAGGAGCAGGAGGCATGAAAGCCTCCGTCCCCAACCCAAATAGGGCAGCCTCCAAAGCTGCCCGAGTCTCATCAACTAAACCCCACCCTGATCCCGAAACCCCAGACGTTGAGGAGCCGGGAACGGGTGGGGGGGGGGGGGGAAGAAGGACGAACAACACCTAACCAAAATGGGGCAGCATTGGGACATCCGGGTGGGCAACCAATCTAGTGGGATGCAGCAACCTTAACCTGGTAAGCAGCACGGATGCCGCCTGTACCCGTATATCAATGTCAATAGAAAGGCTAATTGGAGAACATGTAGAGAACACGACATGCAAGACTGGGGCAAAGGTGTCGGTGACCCAACAGGCAGCATGACGGAGGCAAAAGCGGTGACTGTCACCCTGAAACAAGGGCACACAGCAACCTTCAAACTCGCACGAGACGAGCTGGAACTCTGAAGACACATCCATAGCTCCACCGAGCCCTGACAGGGTTTTCCAGGGCCAGTAGGCTGACTGCTACGGGAAGCCCGGGCAAGGTGTTGCTAACCGGTTAGACCCAAAGCTGACAAGGACGGAGATCACAACACTGAAACCCCTGCGACATGTACAATCATAGGGGCCTAGCGGAGGACCACTAGAATATTTGAAGTGGTCCTCTAGCTACACCAGGCACACAAAACAAATGGAAAGGAAAACCCCCACAAAAGTACAATGTCCCCAGAGGAAACGGGAACTGGCCGCTGCATAGGTAAGCTGCCCGACACGCCAACCAGCAATAGTACAGTACTACTTCCTACCCAAGGGCCACAAAACCCCAGCTGGCCCCAAGGGCGGGGCAAATGCCAAACAGCAAAAAAAACCTACGGAAATGGTGTCATGAACACCAGTGAAGATAACCCTGACACGCAAAGGCAGTACTCACAGGAAGCTCTGGGAAAGCTGCCCTAAGCACATGCAGCCCTGGGGCCAGATTCACGAAGCAGTTACGCAAGCACTTACAAACCTGTACATCTTTTCTCAGTTTTTGGCTTTTTTTTTTTTTTTATCTGAATTTATCTTCAAAATTAATGTGATTTCTTTGTGCAAGATAATATTCTCATGAAGATAAATTAGCCAAGGAAAATGTTTGCTAAATTCTTGCTACCCAACATAACTTACTTTTTCCCCTTCAATTACCACAATCATACTTGCCATGCATCATTCAAAAATCATCTGTGAAGAAATATCTGAACCTTTGGTGAGCACCCATAATAGGTATTACTTATCAATACAAAGTTTTGTCGTGTTTTGTTTAAAGTCTATCGAGTGTTTCAGTAGTGTAGCGATGTAATCTTTGTACATAAAATAACTTACGTGACTGGAAAGATTCAACCAAGTGTCTGATCATGACTACATATCCAATCGAGATTGGAACCAAACTGATCGGACTAGAGGATGTTGCATGTGTGTAGATGAAAATTACAAGAAATAATGTGTGCCAAGGTAATCCAAAGTGATGCAAATACTGTAAAGAAACTTTAATGAAGGTAAGTGAAGCTATAATTAGAAAGAAGACTTTATTAAGACATTTGACTAGTATGTACAAAAGTATTATAAAAAAGTTACATCTTTGGTGATGTGCCAAGTCAGACACTCTTAACACTCATTATCCCGAGTCGGTTGTGCGACAATTATTTTTTTTCTTGTCAATCCCCATGGTCAATGAACATTTTGGTTTAGTATAAATTCATTACTATTGTCTAATTCAAAATAAGAAAAACATTTAGCAAGACATTATTAAATAACTTTTGGACTCATACCTTCGGCATGCTACGTAAAGAATTTGATTTTATTGGTATGCTCAGTTTTGCTCCCAAAAATGTTCAATAAGAGCATTTGAAGTTCATGAAAGCACAGAAAAGAACATTAAAATACTCTTGACATTAACATTAACTACTACCATCAAACAATACTTGATCTTAAAGAAAAATACAAAAAGATAAATGCTTAAATTTGAGAACAATGACAGCATATTCCTGGGGGATGCTATCTGCCAATATTTTCAGTTGCCTTTACCATAACATTATATACAGTGGCACCTCCAGGTCCAGGTTTTATTACAACTAGTATCATTAGTATTATAAGTCATATACATGACATAAATACCCAGGAACAACAAATACCCAAATACTTAAAAAAGTCAAACTTACAGCTGATCCCTTGGTGTATAGAAGATTTTTATGGTATGTTTTAAAGTATTTACACTATTAACAATAATGGCTTACAAACATCAACTATATTTGTATCAGTTCTAATTTACACAATTTACATTTGCACATTATGCCCCCCACACTGTTCATTTTGAAGTACATTCTGTACTCAAATTAAAACTGTCAAGTCATGCCCTGAAGAGTAGAAATGTTGATCACCATAGTTTTGGTTAATAAAGTTTTCAACGGTGAATATGTTTTACTTCATGCTTCAAAACAACTCCAATGTCATGACTATTTTCAACGAAATCAACTAACACGAGCATTCAAGATTTTACCAATTTAAACACCAAATCAGTAGCATGGAAAATTCAAAATAAAATATATTGTATTATTTTATTTATATATAAAAATATAAAAAATGGGCTTAACTTTTCACCAGATATAAATGATCTCAACCTTACAATTTCTTGAATTGCAAATGAACATGTACAGTATAACATTTCCCATACAGGACAAGTCACATGTGCTCTAATGTTAAGTAATAAAAAAAAATTCACAATGAACTAAAAATGATATTCATCCACACTTTCAAGTTCAATTCTTAATCCTGTATGTAGAAAAAGCTTTGTTGAGGGATGGCAAAACTTAACTGCTATTATAGAAAAATATCAAGAAAAAGTAAACTGGGGAATACACCCTGAGCTGGAAGGAGATTAAGCTGAAGTATTTTTATTACAATAAAACTCCCAGATACTTGTCTTTGTGCACGTCCACTGACAGGCACTTCAGTAACATGTTTATATTTTTGTACTGGTCACACATTCTTACTCTTTATGCAAGTGGCAACTTGTTTCATAAGTGATTATCACATCAATATATTTGCTTATTTTCTTATATCTTATATCAACCCATCCTTCTAATAGAACATCGCATATCGACGTATACTTTACCCAAGGCCAAAAATTATTGTACCCTGTACTAGAAAATGGTAGCAGCTCACAAAATTGACATACTGTCCTGTTTTCTGTTTTGGGGCCTCTGGTAGGTTAGGATAGGAGTACTTTAGTACAACAGTTTCTTGACATTGGGAAACCTTAGGAGGATGGGCTGCTTATGCAGCTCCTCAAGCTATGAAGATGTCAATAATATAATTTGTAATGTAGATTACAAATGCACCACCCTCTTCTGAATAGGGAACATGACTATTTGAACAGAAAACTAATGTAATGTAATTATCAAAAGAAGGCACCAAGCCGGGAAGGCAATGTAGCAAAGAGAAAACTTAAGGAATTGTGAAATCTTTAAAGCAGTGTGAACAATATCTTAGTAGTAAACAGTGGACCCTGCAGCCCTGTATAATGGAATAAAAATATTTTTAACTTTAAAAGACAAATTTAAGCATTAGTTAATAGTGCCATTCTTTAAAGGAGAGAATATTAATTTTTGTTTATAAATAGGATACTTATAGTTCTCGATTTCAAAGATAGCAAGCACAAACAATGTATGACCATGTAATATTTTTCAATATATAACTATTTACACAGTGTTAAAACATATTCCTTTCAGCAATGAGGTATACATGTTGATAGAGATTACGAAGCCCAACTTGCAATAAAAATTCCTCTGCCTGTTGCTGTAACTTTTTTTTAATCTAATAGTATGGTATCTACCATATTTATGGTATAGAGGAGAGGTTAGTGCACTCAACCTCTTCCCTAACATGTCTTGTGAGTTTTATACTTATGATAAGTGCTCAAACAAGATACTGTACCAGTGACAATCTCCCCCCCCCCTACCCCCCACCCCCTTTTCCCATACAATTCTGGATACAAACCTATATTGTATATTATAAAACTATTAATAACTTTTTACCATTAGTGTGCAATGGAGGGAAAAACACGTAAATTAAGTTTTCATGGAATAAAATAGATTTCTTACAAAATAGTGCTCAACCATATAAAAATATGTTCTTGAACATGATTTGACATTACGGACACGGTAGTATGTAATCTTTTTATTTAATGCAACTGGTGTAGGAATTTTTAGTGATTTGTATTGCATTCTATATAAACTATTATATATTTTACCAGTTTGCAATGACTAGTGAACTGTGTAATAGGTATAAATTTACAAATGGTTACTGGTAGTATACCAAAGTAACTGTCAGTCGAATTGCTTTAAAATGTGTAATTTAACAAATGGACTAGTGCTATAAAGCAATCCTGGCTTAGCACTCTTGATAAATACATAATTGGAGACAGAGAATGATCAAACTATTGAATTTTCAGGCATACTGCTAATGGTTATATATATATATAAAAAAAAGTGTCAACACGTATAATAAGATATTCCTTTGTTTAATGTTTATCTTGGCTGGGGCTGGCAGAACACTATTGTGTAGCTTATATATACTAACAATTCCTCTAGTCGTGATTATACCTAATGATTATTTCATGTGAATATTAAAAACTGGAGAACATGAGATTTTTTTTTAAGTTACAGCAAGTCTAATGAAAAAAATTATTTTGTTTACATGAATTAAGATTTTAATCTTTGTAATGTTTACTATATATTTATATAAATAAATAAAGTTAAAAGTTATAGGCAAGTGCATACACCACAAGGCTTCATTAGCTCGTGTAGTTTACTTGATTGTGTCTCATGCCATATTTATTGTCACGTGCACTATTCTGCCTCCATGTATGAGAATACTCAACTTGAAATTTCAGATATCATTTAATGAAAATCCTATTTTGCTCTTATTAATATGAATACAGTGGCACCTCGACTTACAATAATTTTGAGTTACGATGTAAATTTGATCGAAAAATGCGATGACTTACGATAGTGTCGTTGACTAAACGATATTTGTTGGTACACATTTGGGCCTACCGAGCACGTGGTTCCCGGTCACGCGGGCCAACCTGCCTCAGTTTACTAGAGCTGGCTGCTTAGTGACGATCACGCCTATAAGAAATTTAGTTTTTGTGATGATTTTTTGCTTTTTGAACATAAAACTGTTTGTTATATATCATGCCATGGGTCCCAAGAAAGTTCGTGGTAAGGTTCAACATATGAAAACCCATGTAAGGATGACCATAGAGCAAAAACAAGAGATCATTCGTAAATATGAAGATGGTGTGCGGGTTGCTGAACTAGTTAGGCAGTACAACAAATCTCAGTCAATGATATCCACCATACTTGCTAAGGAAAAAGGACATTACGAGTGCTAAAGTGGCAAAAGGCGTATCAATAATCACGAAACAGAACACAAACACTTGAGGATGTTGAACAGTTATTATTAATTTGGAAACACAGCAAGGAGTTAGCGGGTGATACGAGTTTCAGAGGCCATCATTTGTGAAAAAGCAAGGAAATTGCACGAAGACCTTTTAAAGAAAACCCCTGGAACAAGTGATGCAAATGTGAGAGTTTAAGAGCAGGGGATGGTTTGAGAAATTTAGAAAAACAAGTGGCATTCATAGTGTTCAGAGTGTTGTGTGTTACGAGCTGGTGGAGGAACACAGCGAAGAACTGACCACCGAAGAACTTCACAAGGAGCAGCAACAAGAGAGAGCTAAGGAAATTTCTTCAGGGAAGGAGGAGACAGTACAGAATGTCCCATCCTCATTAATTAAGAAAATGTGTGCAGCATGGGAAGAATTGCAAACTTTTGCTGAAACGATTCACCCAAATCACGGTGCAGTAGGCCGTTGCCTTAACCTTTTAATGACACTGTGATGCCTCACTACAGACTAAAACGTATGGAAAAACAAAAATCTATGGAAAGGTTTTTAGTGAGACGAGCAATGAATCACAACCAGGTCCTAGTAGCAGGCAAAACGTAGGAGTGTGTGTACACCCAGAGAAGTCATCATTGCCTGATGTTATAATGAAAGGGGGGACTCCCCTTCCAAATAGTAACACCTCGCCACCTCTTTCCCCCTCCTCACTATCTTCCATACACATCAAGAGTCCTCCATAAAGGTAAGGTAAACATATGTACTAAACATAGTCAAGAGAAAAAAAAATTGTATTCGGTATAAAATGTATTTTTAAGTTAATATTTTTGCGGGTGTGGAACGGGTTAATCCAATTCCCTTTATTTCTTATGGGAAAAATCACTTCGACATGATATTTCGCTTACGATGCGTCTCTGGGAACGGATTACCATTGTAAATCGAGGCCCCACTGTACTAAGGTTTCTACTTTTGAAAATTTGTTTAGTCTACAATCAAAAGATTAATACAGAAATAATTTGTTGACAAAAAAAAAATCAGCACCAATCAACATTTGTTTCTAACCCAGGCAGACTATAGCATTTAGATAAAAAAAATATGAAATACTGTTAGGAATGTTTTAAAAGAAAAATAGGGTACGAGAAATGTTGAAAAAATAACAAAACAAAATGGATTGTTATCTAGTTTACACACATGTTCACCTGACAATTTAGAGATTAAGAAATGTTGATATTTGTGTTATTTTACCTTGTGTACTTAATAACTCATCGATCCTCCAATAGATTTAAATACCTGCAATAATGCAAGTGGTTTTACTCATGTATAACAAATACAAATTTCACTGCATTTATGCCTACTTACCTTCTCTCCTTTCCTTATACAAATAAACTTAATGAATGAATCAGTGTAAAAAAAAAAACTTACATTTTAAACCCAAATGTTGACCTTATCACATTTAAATACATGGAGTGGTTCCATTATTATACAAAATGTAGACTTCTTGTATATGTACTTTTCTCATAAGCTCCACTTTATTTTAATTTTGGAAATGAGCTACAAATTTCATTATGACTGACACCAACACTATTTTGTACCTCAGTGCAGCACACTTGACATGCACTCTGCCCTCCTACAGCTTACTCTGGCCAGATACACACACCGACACCTCTACTGGAATGGTAATAATTGTTGAGTCCCTTAATATTTATTTTTCAATATCTTTTAAAGGCCAATGTGTAGTGTGTTTCAGGTCAAATCTTTTAAGTATTATGTATACACTGTAGACACTTGCCAAAATATAACAATGTGCTTTGGATTTCAGTGTGAAACCTTGAACCATACATGTTTACACAGTTCTTAACTGATATGTGCACTATTCCCAAAGAAAAGAGAAGGCTTATGAAAAATATAATTTTTCCATTTTCTGTGCATTGGTCACTTATCAGACTCAAATATGTTTCACAATAAAGATCACTCACACAAAAGCACTCGGCAGCACCTAATGGCTATATGAGGACTTTGCCTCAAGTTTTTATAGGCAGTTTTCTTAGTCAAAACTGAGTGCCCAGAGCATTTTCAGTATTTTAATGTTCACTTGCTAAACAGTGTAGACAATTTTTATTGTCATTTCAAAAATGCCACACAAAAGTTATGTTATTTTCAACATAACTACACAGTTATTGTCACAATGCAATCTGCCACATTGAATATTTTTGTCTTCAGACAAAGAGTTTAGAATGCACTATCATTCACAAGTTTTAATTAATAGAATTCAATCAGATTCAGACCCATCATCTTCAAAACCTGTGAGATCAACCTCTACTAGTTTTCCATTATGGAGGGCATACTCCAACAGTGCTAAATGACAAAAGACATACTGATCGGGCATCTGAATTGAGTATGCTCGTTGGGATCTTATCTTTTCCACAGTTCCTTTTACCTCAATTGTCCCAACATCCTCTAAGCGACGAATACAGATGTCAAGGGTGCAAAACGTACCTGAGGAAATCGTACATAGTCAATATGTTAAGAATGGCAATGACTATCACTTATTACGCATACAAGAATATAAATACATAAAATGTTCAACATATACAAGTCAGAAGAATGCTGTTAAAAGCACAAGAGTTTATGCAAAGAAAACAGAACATCCCTAAATGCCTGCCTTGCTCTGTGGGGCCTGGGAGGGCATGGGGCCCCAAATCATACTTTTTTGTTGTTGTTGATGATGATGATGATGATGGATGAGTTTTTAGCTAATCTCCTCTCCCTTTATTGCAGCTGATGTGTGCTGTTTGCACTCCAATGAGCATTGGGATGCTACATCTTTGCTTAATTTTCACAGAAAATTAAATTTATGGATGGAAAATTGACATAAAACTTTGTTTCCGGTAATGATGAAAAAATTAGGGCAGCGAGATTAAATTTTTAGTATGGTCTACTGTACATAATGGGGAAATTATTTATAGTCTAACAGTGACAAAAAAAAAAAAAAAAAAAAAAACCTAACCAAGTATGTTAACTTCAATTTGGCTTGCATTTATAGATGAAAAAGTTTAAATTCAACATGTCCTCCAAAAATGACTGCAACTATGGATGAAATGTACAAAATATGGACTGTTGCCCTCAAAAGCAGTGCACATTTTGCACTATTTTGTAGAGGGCCCATGAAAAAGGCAACAACCAAACCAAACCTTTCCCAGGGATAATAAGATTGTATACATTCTGCCTAGGACAGGTTGGGTTAGGCTAACATTTTGTGTAATTCCTAACAGTACATAACTTTATCAGTACAGTATTCTAACTTTTTCAATGGCCCATATAGTGTTCACACCACTACTGTTACTATAGGGCCTAGCTTTTTTAAAGAATGGATTATTGGAAATACAATGCAAGATCAAAAAGCCATACCTGTCCTTCCTATGCCTGCAGAACAATGAACGACTATTGGAGGTCCCAAAGGATGTCCAATCCATGAACTTCCTAGAGCAGAAGTCAAGCGAGCCTGTGATTCCCGGACATGAGTCAAAAATTCTAGCATAGCCATAGCAGAGTCTGGAACACCATAGTCTGGCCATGATGTAAACTGCATATGCTCTACTTTTCTTTCCTCATTAGACTGAAACATAAAAATGAAAGTAATTAGTAATAAAGCCTAGAAAATTAAACCAATGTTTGATGGTATGCAACATTTAATGGTTTACAGAGTTGGTGTACTCTTACAGTCGTGCTACATGCCTAACCTCATTACGTTAAGGCTATCAGCCAGGCTGATGTAGTTAAATTGACTAATTACACACATTCTGTAGCAAACAAAAAGATTTCTTCTTGAAATTAGTAATTATAGCACAAAGAATACTGCTTAAACTGGAAAGCAATAGGTTGAAAAATCTTAAGATTAATGTTGAAATGTGTTCATTACTGGTTCTTACATATTATGCACTTTACCTCGCATCAGTAATTTTCTTGTAAAAATTATTAGGTACTGTATTTTCTCTTTGCTTTACAAAGTAGCTTTCATACTTATCTGGCATGTATATTTGTTTTCTTTTTACAGCAATAGATCATGTGTGCACATTTCTATATTTTAAATTTCTATTTACATTGAAAAAAGGAGGAATATTGAAATATTCATATATTCAGCACTGTCATAATCTATTATTAACAAACATTTTATTATTTATACTCCAGCAAATTCATCTGGGAACATTTTGACAGCAAATTTACAGTTACGGAATAAACCAAAAACTAAAGGAGAGAAAGAGTATAAACAATTTAGGCACTGCTGAGTGGGACCCCGAGTTGTCCAGAATGTTTCTGGTCAGGAACAAGCTGATGGGCAGGCATGTTCCCAACACCCTATAGAGAATCTCATGCACACAATTCGGGCGTGATACCTTAACAATACTTTTCAGAAAAAAAAAAATCGCACCCACAATCTACAGTAATCTCTGTTGCTATTACATTATCTGCAGCATCTTCACCTATTCCAGTGCTCCTTCCAGCATCCAAAGGTAAATAATCTTTTATCTCATTAGTTCCAGGAAGCATAGCATTTTTATTAAAATTATAACAAATATGTTTCCAAGAACTGAGTGAAATAACTTTTTAATGAATTCAGGAATGTATTGCATGTGTAAATCTGAGACTCCCGTAATTTGACTAAACTCTTATGCAATAGACATTTTTTTTAATATTTCTTAAATTTATCATTTAAGCAGCAGAAAATATAACAAATATTACTACTATAATATTTCATATTTTATGGATTGTTTAATCAGAAAATTAGGCTGCCAGAAAATGCAGTACAGTACATTTATAAATTTTATTTGTATTTAAAAATTGTATCTCAATTTATGCATCCTTCATCTTGAGGTTATTTTGAGATAATTTCGAGACTTAGCATCCCCCGCGGCCCGGTCCTCGACCCGGCCTCCTCTTTGTTACACATCCCCAGGAAGCAGCCCCTAGCAGCTGCTACGTCTAACGCCTAACAGTCTAACTGATAACAGTCTAACTCCTAGGTACCCATTTACTGCTAGGTGAACAGGCATCAGGGGGTGAAAGAAACTACCCATTTGTTTCCGCCTCCACCAGGGATTGAACCCGGAACTTCAGGGCTACGAATACCGAGTGTTGTCCACTCAGCTGTCATGAAACGTGCAATGGAAATAGCATAATTTAAAGAAAAGAAAATTTCTACTTACTCTGTTATCCCGCATTGTGAGTGCGCTAACTGTATAATCCCGGTAGTGGTAAAGTTGTGTATTGGTAATGGTGAAGTGAGAATGTGATGCTACTCCATCTTGCTCAGCAGGCCAGTACTGCCCACACTTGGTCCTCCCTCTCTCTACGGCCCGGGTAGTCATCACAATAACACACACTCGTTGCTCCCAGATCATCCTCCAGAAATCGCCAAATGTTCCAGGTAATGGACCTTGTTAGGATAGAAACAATTTGTACACATGTGTGGAGAATACAGTAGTAACATTCCTATATTTTATTCAATTACTGTACTTATATTTATACAAATTGAATTTCAACAAAAAACATAACCTTTACAAAATTTTAAAATTCTATTTATTACATAATGTAAACTTATAATAATAGCTATATTATTTACCATTATAAAAAATAAGTACAAAATCATAATTCTTATCTCTATATTCTTCTATGACATTGTACTAAAGAATATTGCAAAATTAGTTTTTTTTAATTAAAAATTTCATTTCTGGATTTGTAACTTTTAATACGTTTAATAATCAATACTCCAAATAATTATTTCAATCTAAATACATGAGTACTTCATCCAGATTTTTGCAATTACTATATAATATAGTATACTTATGATATTTTTACTTAAATAATTTGTGCATTACCTTGAGTAGAAATGAAGGCATTTTTTTGTTTATAACCATCAACATAGTTTGCATTAATATAATCTGTATGACACTCTTCATCTTCCGCTGAAAGTATCACTCTAGAATTGTCGAAACATAGCACATCCGTGTACCGGTTTTTTACTTGATTCCATCTTTTTCTGTTGAAGAAAAAGATCTATTAGTATTTTGTTACAAATACCGTACTGAGGGTATGCACATACTTACACGTCGTTTACTTATAAATAAGGTAAGTATACCGACAATGGTTGTGCAAGTCAATATCAATGTCATCCTTGGAAATTTAGAACAAGAGTTCTGTGCAGCACTGAATAACATTCATTCAGAAATGTAAAGAGTATTAAGTTGTCATAATCTATAATGTTAATCATGGCACAAGACATTTAACACTATCTCTTACATATGAGGCTATTCCTACAAGTCCAACTGTGCTTATGATTGTGAAGAATTTTATAATAACGAAAATTATAAAAAAATTGCAGTAACACAATAATAGTTTATAACAATGTACAAAAAAAGTGACTAGTGAACATTAATGCGTTCATTTTTTTCTATACAGTATTGAGTGTCTGTTATAGAATAGACCAGAAAATTTAACATACATGTGCATGTTCAACTTCACATTAAAGCTAGTTGACACACTAAACCATATGATTAAGTGTACTGGAACCCTACTCATGAACCTGTCCTCTCACCTAATGTCTTATTTGATCAACCTGTTATCAACCAGTTAAAATTCAATGTACAGTATATGGTAAAAAACTAAAGCACCGTAATATTGAAGTTTTCAATGCATTGACCTGGATAGATTATACAAGTTGCTGTTTTGTATGTTTCTGGTTAGTCAAAACAATTAAATTTTTCATGGTGTTGCAGATCAAGAGAACAAATGGATACTGTATATACAGGTATATATATAAAAAGCAAGAATAAGGATCCTCTTGTTAATTTGGGTGTGGCAGTCTTTGTTCCCAAAACAAACGCAGGCATTCATAGCCATTCAGGCTGCCCAATGCCCAGGTACAATATTCAGAATAATAAGCAAGAAACAATATATGCCCACATAATTATTATTGAAATATCAATATTTTTTTTTAATTCATATGAATATAGTGTAAAAAAAAAAAATTACATACACAACCACCATGGTAATGAAAAAAAAGTTTAATTAAATTTAATTTTTGGCAACACGAAAAAGGTTGCCAAACAGCACAAACCTACTAACAAACCTACAAACAGCAAACAAACCTACTAACCTTCATTCAAGTAATGTTTAAAATATTGTTGAAAACTAAGCCTCTGTGTTATGAAAAACACTAACTTGTAAAAATAAGTTTAATAACATGTCTAATAATGCTGAAATGGTCTCTAAAAATATTTACTCAACTACAAATACTGGTATCATGCACTTCTGTCAAAGTCCACAATATTTAACTCCCCTGGTATACACTTTGCATTCTATGACCAGTAAGATTTCTACATTTAAAAAAATTAAATTTATAAAACTTTACTGTAGTTTAATTTAATGTGTGATTCCTGGGAACCATCCACACTTTGAACCAGTGGTGTAGTGTTTGAAAACATTTGACCAAGATTAAGCTGTTTAATCATGTATTTTTCTCACTAATTTACATTGCGATCTCTTAAGGAACAAAATTCAATTAGTCATAAGAATGTAAATAAAATTTTTTTATTTTTTTATTTTATCTATATAAAGCAATCGGTTACATAGCTTACTGTAACGATAACTCTCCAAACTTTAAAAATAACAGCCCCTCGGAACACTAGCTTGAATGTTTTGACAACCCAAATAGCAAATCAAGTCTGACTTCTGAATCCCGTCTAATGGCTGAAGGAGACAGCAGTCCCTCCAGGAGTAAATATAAGGCAAATCTTTTATTTCACGTTGTGCCAGAGCCCTATACTCATTGATTTGCATCTTCCTATAGCGTCTAAAGATTGTAAACCCAACTGTTATAGTGTATACACTAGCAAAATGTAAACATCTAAATAAGCAGGATTTCATATTCATGTCAAAATATACACCTATTTATTAACCAGAGAGGAAGCCATTAATAATACTGATGACATTATTATTCCTAAAAATCATTTACAACTAATAAAGAGCAACTGGAATACAAAAAATGTGCTACAAAATATTTATTATAAAAATTAAATATAGTACTGAATCAATGCTTGGCAGTTACCTTGAGTTTTCAAAAGTACCATCTGGAGGCCGACTCTTTATTTGTGTATAGTCATGATAAAGTCCTTGCCGTGCCTTATCTCTAAGATGGCGCACAAATTCCTCAAGAGTAAATCCCCGGCCATCATCATAGTGAAGACTGTCATCATCACTGAACCCACTACTTCCACTGCTGGGGGGAGCAAGGGGAGAACCTCTACCTACAAACAAATACAACTCACTTCATTATCTGAAATTAACTGTACAGAAATTTAGCATAACACACAATTTCATTATTCCTATTACACTGGTAATTAAAGTTCTTCTATTGTAGCCGATTTATTTCCAATTAATAAACTTATAGCCAATAAAAGTAACCTTATTATTGTCTCAGATGTATGCTGTTCACCTCAGCCATTAGTATACCATAAGCTTAACTGAACTATAATAGAAATAACCAATCACCCAACACTGAAATGATCCTAATCATGTTTCTTTTTTAAATTTCTAAATTAACAAAATCTACAATTTTGTACAATCAGTACAATTCTAGGTTAGTTGCTATTCCTTATGAAGGTGTGTGCCTGTTGCACCTCATGAAGCAGTGTAGAGCAGTGAGCACACTGCTCTTGCTCACTGGGCAAGTGGTTTGCAACTGCTACTTGCCAGTTTGGTCTGGCCAATGTGTTTTCTTACAGTTAAGAGAACCAAGACATTAATCCATGCAATTATTTAAATATATCTACAAAATCACATAATATATAATTTGCGTAGGGGAAGTATAGTTATCCATAGAATCTACTAGGTTGCTAGTTACAAGTGTATTTTGAAACTTTGTAGTAAGATCATTAGCACCTCTATATGGAATACCTTAGCTAATAAGGTATCCAAGTCTTTCTCTGTCTTTTCATGGTGGTCTCCTTGATACACCGTTTGTAGTGGAACTGTAAGGGGGAAGGCAGTACCTTAATATTTGAAGATCATTCAATGAAATGTTTGTCCTGGTTTTTAGAAATTTTTAGTTCCTTTTCATTTTGTACTTTGTTTTTATTTTAATCTTGGGACATGTACAGTACTTTCTTTTAGTATGTGTAAACAGATTTCCTGGGCCCTAGAGAATTGCTTCTTTTAAATGGTCAGCAAGACAACATAAACCAGTCCCTCCAGGGATACTTTTTTGTGCTTTTTTTTGCTGCTGTCCAGTACCAGTCTGGAGCTTGAAAGTGTGAAAGGTTTATATGGTGATAGAGCCTACTGGAGGGACTTCTGGTATGACCACTCCCAAATTAAGAGCTGCTGGGAGTGGGTTATATCAGGGTTATAGACAGGTTTGATTATTTGGTCTGTCATCCACAAGACAATAAATGTCAACATCTTGTTTTACTATACATTAACCCTAAAAAAAATTCCCAATGTCCTCTTCAATCGTTTAAATTTTGGAATTACTTTTAAACATCAAGATGTGAGAAGTGAATACAAACCACTAATTCGGTCAGTATCATGCAAGACGTGACCATTGAGATGCGCAGTATCTTGTATTTCAGGCACTGGAGAACACTCTCCTTTTAAAGACGGACTTAAATCTTTTTCTCCATCTTTCCGCTTTTCCTCTTTTGTGAGGTCTTCATCCTCTGTGCCATTAAGACCAGACAGTCTTCCATCATCCTCTCTGACATGCCCTTCCAGGTCATCCTCATCATTACTGTCATGGGAGAAACTCTTGTCACAACAACTGACTTCATCTTCACTGAATTCACACAGCTGAAAAAGCCAAAAGGAGAAATTTTAAAATCTTTGATTTGTACATAAAGCCACAAGAGGGTTTACTGCTTAATGGAGTAGTACTCGTCAAGTGCTAAACATGTATGGAGTTGGCAGACCGTTAAATGCTGTGAAAACTTTCATGCAGGAAATATTGAATGTGTAAGAGTTAACCCATAATTGGAGCAACTTAAATGCTGACATCCATGTGGTGCACAAGAAAAAAAAAAAGTGTGCTGAAAAAATCATTTTCTTCTTTCGACATTGTTAATTCGCCTCCAGGAAGCACAAAAATCCAAGTCTCTACCTCTTGTTGTTTAGCTGTAGTGGCCTGGAGAAGTTACTTTTGGGGGATAAAAGTGAGGCGAGGTGTCGCTCAGGAATAACTTTGTCTATTTATTTTCATTGTTTCTCACTTTATTTAGTTTTATTGTGCTAACAGGTTGCACTGATGCGTGAAAGGTTATGTATAACTTTGAAAATATAAACATGTACGGATATACAGCCCATCCTCCTATTTTGGTAGTAACGATGAGGACCACAGTGTATATACCGACGTACAATGCAATTACAAAGTAGAAATTGGCACTATTGAGTTGGACAAATCAGAAAACTATTTTCTACTCATGTTGCATGACAAACTAAACTAACCTTCCTAGGCCTAATTCACAATATCTTAGGTCTAATGTAGTACATGTGTGTGTGCTTATACTAGACCAAGGAATATTTAAGTACATTTTTTAAGCTTCATTTTTTCCGACTATAAAGTGAATAGTACAAAGTTCTACCATCTAATTGCTAAGAACAGCAATCTTTGAACTATGGTGCACGTAGTTACAAAAACTATTACCTAAACAGGAGAATGGGTTGGGATACGAGATATTTTTTATATACATTTTTTTTTGTTTTAATATTAAACAAATTTTACATTTTGTCTGAAATATATACATGGTAATCACCCATTTGCTGCTGTTAAAATTTTAGTGTCTCCTCTATGGCTGCCCTAAACGTTCATACTCTGAATGGTGATGTTGCTCCTCATTTTTATATTAACGCCCTAGAAGGAAAGTGAGGGACTCAGATTTTTTTTCCCCAAGATGTGAGATGGTTACTGGAGGCCTGAGGAAACAAATGTGAGCCCTGTGCATGTGCAGGACTATTTTAAATATTTTAAATCTCTAAATCACATGTTTATGATGTGTGCCCTCTAGGCAGTCAGACCAAAATCATATATGCGCCCTCCAAAGGTTAATAGTGCAAACAAAGATTGGTTTTATATTATTATAGACACACCAGTTGTGTCATGTCCCTTTTAATTGTTCAATGTACTGGTATATGGATTGAATTATGAGAGGGGCCAATGTAATGTGTAAACCCGGTATATGACAAATACGAGTAATTCGAGTATACAGAATTTTATATATACAGTTGATACAGCTCCTTGATCAGGACGCACAAGATTTATGCCGGGCTATTAAAACTAATGTACAAGAGAAAACTGTTAAAGTAAATGTTGATTAAAGTAAATTATAATGGTGGTGAAAGAAGGGGAAATTGTGTGTGAAATAATTGTGAATGAAGTGCTAGAAGTGGTTACTATAATATGTTCATAATACCTGGCATATGTGAATGATAAGAAGAATCTATGCAGAATTGAGAAGAGACAGCCAGGGAAGAAAATTAAATGTTTCATGAAAGCCCTGATTAGGATTTCATGAAACATTAATTAAAAAAAAAAAAAAGATGTGTATGTGTATTGATGGAAAAAATGGTAGTATAATATAAATGTGAAAAATATGTTATTTAGAGCAGCTGAAATGTAAAGTCTGAGATAATGGTAATAAGAGAATTTATAATGTAATGAATAAAAACGTATTGTGAAGATGTAATCAATCACAAGATTAATGAGTGCACCAAGATTGTTTGGCCAGTATTGCAACGATTTGCACAAGCTGTTACGAATAAAAGCTCTGGTTCTGATAATGACAATGTCTGTGCGCTATGCTGTTATTATAACACTTGCGTAATTTATGTACTATAATTTCTATGTAAACATTCCTAATTATAAATGTACAACCATTTATGAATAAATTGACCAAATCACACACTAGAACGTGAAGGGACGACGACATTTCGGTCCGTCCTGGACCCTTCCCAAGTCGATTGTGATGAGGGAAGATTGATTGATAAAGATTAAGCCACCCAAGAGGTGGCACGGGCATGAATAGCCCAAACCACATATTTCAGCCACGTTATTGTGACTCTTCGTCTGCATTTATGAATAAGGTTTTTAATTTGATTTGATTGTAATGAAGTGAATGTAAGGGAAGGAGAGGAGAAGGGTCAGGAAGAAGCATAGAGGACATTGTAAGTGTGTGAAGAGGCATAGATTGCTTCTTGACTGACAGGGCTGAGTGAAAGCAGTTTGTAAAGAGATTGAATGTATGTATCATAGGAGAACTGAGCCAGAACACTGTACACCTGGTCTTAAGAAATGAATGAGTGTAGTGGTGCTTGATTATCCAAGATTCAGAAAAGTGTAGATGCTATATATATTTTTGTTTGTTTGTGCACCTTTTGTTAACTGCTCCCATTTGTTTTTTTAACAGGCTGATGCCTTTCCCCACACTTTGAAAATGGGCAACTAGGTAATTATGATTTGTTTATAATCAGTATGAAATGTTCATCATTTTAGGACATTTCATCAAATTGGGACATTTACACATCCCAATTTACAATTAAATTATAGCTAAATATACCTTTATTATAAATTGTAAACATCAAGATATCAAGTTATACAACAGTGATTAATTTTTATTTACCTGTTCCACTGAACTGGTAGGATCATGATCTCCGGTTGGTACCATGTTGGAACTATTATTATCAGAATCTACTGTAGAGATGTGTCCAGACTGGAATGTGAGGGGTGGAGCAGGCTCACACACGCCTGATGGGTCTCTATTGGTCATGGAGGTACTGCACCGTAAGAGCCAAGCGCTATGATCAACACTGAGATCTCCACCCAGATCTCTTGGCAAACACTTCCCTGGTATGTGGTTTACAAGCTGCAAGAAAAATATATCATTCAAATCATTCTAATAAAATAGTGAAAACAAAATACAAATGTATTAAAACAAAGTTTAAAAGAGGCTGTCGCTTTCTATTCTCATTGTTTTGTATGTATTTACCATATCTTCTGTCCCTCTTCTAATCTATGATTATTTGATCGAGTTCCCTTAACCTGTCCGCATAGGTTCAAGAGATGCAGATTCCATGCTAGTCAATGGTGGCATAAATGAGAAGTATCTTAATCCTTCCAGTGTAGCTAAGGATATTCATACCTGCTCACACAGCAGCACGTGGCAGAGGACTCTAGTGATCCTTGCACGTTTTCTATGAACGAGTTCATAGAAAACGTTTTAGCTTCACCTTTTAGTTTATGTATTACAGTATGTGTGTTGAATAACTAGATTTATGTACCTTTAATTTACAAAAAATGGATTGAGTTCATTACTAACTATAAGGATAGGTCTACAATGAATGTATGACTAATGAATGCATGTTATGTATGTATATATCAATTAGAACATATGACTAAGAGGACCGCAGAAGACCAATTGGCCTATACAAGGCAGCTCCTATTTATATCCTAGTATGAATGATTTTTGGTGGCTATAATAGGAGCTGCCTCATATGGGCCAATAGGCTTCCTGGAGTTCCTTTATTATAATGTTCAAATGATTGGTTGATATTGGTTGACCTGATATACTTCATTAAAACCAGTGGTGAAATATATTATCATTAACATACATATGTAATTATAATGGCATTTTATACCACGACAATTACTGCATTAGCATAGTATCACTTGCAAAGATAACCTCATTTGCATAGTAGGTAATTATGAAGGATAGCAGGATTTTTTCTATGGGCCACGGTAAACTCCATTACTGTACAACCACATGGTTCTTATAGCCATAGTAACATCATTGGTATAAACCCAGACAATAATATTTTAAATCAACATATGATACTGTAACTGCATTACCCTGCGAGTCAATGGTGATAACTGCACTTTGAGGGTTAATGGTGTGACTAAACAAGTAAGTGATATAGCAACCATATATTCTTCTTCTTCTCCAAAAGAACTCAATATTAAGTGCCATGACATAACACTGCTAAAAAGACATCAAGTGTAGCTGCCAAGTGCATGTGATATTTCACAATATTTATCTCAATGGTACTATGCATACATGAGAAAAAGTAACAAAGACATTATATGTAAATTCCCACATTATCAATGGAAACATTCATGCACAACTTGATGGAAAGGAGGATTTTAGCCAGGTAACTGTCGTGAAGGCAAAGGTTCCGCATCCCTGGTGGGAAGGGATGGCTCGACTGTCTCCAGAGGGCAACCCCTGCAAAATCATCCAAGCTATATATTTTCTATATATATACCAAGCTATATATACTTTCTATATTACCAGCTAAACTCTGACCTAGCTTCAAAACCCTCAGATGTTTCAGAGTCTTAACCAGAGAAGGGAGTGGAGAAGGAGAAAAGGGGATGCTGGGTGCATCACACCATACCAGCAGGGGGAAGGTAGAGTGAACCTGTACCAGGTGAAATACACCTCCAAAACTGAATCCCTGGGGAGGGGAGGGGGGGGGGGGGGTGAATGAGAATGATGGAAATGTTTACCAAGTATAATTTTCCAGACAACCAAAACCAAATATAAAATTTAATTTATAGCCTATACGAGTAATAATTCAGATCTAAACTAGAACCTATTACTAACCTCCGGCAGCGATACCGTGTACACACGATCCCTTAGCTTTTCTCGAACAAAGAGCCGAAGTACTTTGAATGGTGCCTTGAACCAAAGCGGTGCTGTTACTATTAATACTTTCTTCAAACGTGCTGGATACCCACCCTGAAAGAAAAACCATTGTAAATATAAATACAGTACCAGTTTTGACACTATCTAAATAAAATACAGCACAAAGTCAACATATACTTTAAGCTGAAATGTAAATCAGAGATGAAAATCTTACCCTTATGATGCTTGACCCAACAGACAGACCTTTTGTAATGATATTACCTGCGATGCATAACGGGTCTTAGGATAAGTAGGTGCCAGTGTGACTGGAAGGAAGCTGGTAAGTGCAGCCATCTCATTAAAATGATTTTTACTTATGCAAATATTTTGTTAAGTTACAGACCAGTTATCAAAGTTATCATTGCAAGACCAACACGCAATGAACAACAGTAACATCGTAGGACTGTAATCAATGTGTTGCTTGAATGTTATATATAGACATTTGTTTCATCTTTTCTAACCACCAGACATTGTATTTCCCAAGTCATATTTCTTGTAATTTCATTTACCTCTGTAACCCTTAAGCTGATAAGGAGTCCTGAGGAGATTTACACCCCTATGCTCAAGAAAAAAAATTAAAAAAAAAAAAAAAATTTCGCCTTCTAAAAATGTTAATTTGTGTTCCCTGAGAACGGGAAAAATAAAAAAAATCGTGGGCGACATATTTTGGGGGCAATAGGCCAAGGAAGTCTGGCAAAATGTGGGCATTGACAGAGCGGTCGTCAGAGGTGGTCAGCGTCACCCGAGCTGACAGGTGGGAGTTACCACAAAGATATTATTACCTAATTATTTCAATGTGATTGATTTTTTCTTAGTTTTTTGCAGTAATATTATTCAATAGTGTGTAGTGTGATAGATTTATATAATAAAATGTGTGAATCATGGCTATACTCAAAAGTATGATGTTCATATTAGTGGTTCAATTATTACGTTCATAAAACAATAAAATAGTTTTGCAGTTATTACACTATATACACACATATATATACAAGTATTGAAAGAACACACAAGTGTGTTGCTTGAAAGAACACACTATAGACAATCTTTACTTCATCCTGACTTTACTTTTCTCTATTGTATTACTGTACTACACGAGTTCTATTACGTGGCCTCGGTAAGCATCTCCGGCCATTTCTTGCTTACTGTTTATGCAAAACTTCACCCCCATAACCTCAACATAATGACTGTCCCTGGAACATGCTGCTCCCTAACATAATATCTGGTCATTTCCAGCTCCTAAAATGATTTGTTCATCCAAATTCTTGGCATCAGTGTGAATCAAAACTCAAAACCCACAAACTAAAAATAATTCCAATGATGGGAAGTTGCACATTTCATATGAAGGGGTTGATCTGCCTAACCTTATCCTTACTACAGTATCAGCCCTGACCATAAGGTTTATTAAAAGTTCTAAATATTATGTGCTCTAAACCTCAGGACCGGCTAAACCAAGTCATTACTCTATTTACTACATTGGATATAGTGCACTGATTTGTTAAATCCACAGCAAATTTGGCAATAACACATTAGGTCAAAGACCTACTGTGTGCTAAACCTATTTTTCTCAAAAATATTAAACACACACAAAATAATATTGCTTATTATTATTATTCAAATACTGTATTGTACTAACAATTATAATTCATGGAAATACATTTCATCTACTAAAAAACATAGTTGGTATTATTTTCTTGTAGCTGCATATTGTAAAATTAGATACCTATGGTCAGTAGTAAATGCCTGTACATACTGTAATATTGTTTAGTACGAAAGAGTGTCAAGGCAACATACCTACTTGCGAAAAGGTAAGACAATGACTATAATTATTACCATTTAGCAATTTATATTAAAACTGTAATTTGTGTTTTGCTATTAATATATCTGTAAATGCATGATCTATAATTTGCACAAATTTTTTTTTTAAATGCTGAACAATGCCACACAACTGCAGTCCACAACACGCCACAACTGCCAAATATAATGATCATCCATAAATAATAATCTGGGATTTGGTCTTAATTAATTTAGAAAATTGAGAACATTAAATAATTTACAGGGCTGATTGTGTGAGATTCATATCTAACTTTTTGTTACACGCCTCAAATTAACACTATCGCACTCCGTTGCCGATGTTTGTCGTCACTCATTTTCCTAGATTCTCAGCGGTTGACTATTGCTCGCGTCATGTATTAAAATATTTGTAAAAAATTCAAATTTTATCCGATCAATCTGGGAGTGATTTCAAAATGAGCGCCTATAGATTGCGCACAATTTGATACCAATATGAAAGACATAACATAAAAATTGATGTCAGAACACTGGAAAGATATAAATAATTTTTGTGGTGACGAGCGTCAAAGTGTCCAAAAGTTAAAATATTTGTTAAAATTCAATTTATTGTTCTATTATTATAGGACTAGTTTTAAAATATACTCCTTTATTTTGCGAACAGCTTGATACCAAAATGAAACACGTAACACGAAAATTTATGTTATCAAACTGAATGAGTAAATACAGTACATTAGTCTGCAGGTGTGCCAACTGGTGCTCGTTCACGGGTAACTTGGCCAACTTTAGGCTTTGCTGTGGGGGAGTCACGCCGGGCTTTTAGACCTTATATGCATATACCCCTGTAGAGAATTCTATTGCAAACACAATGATACCAAAACGAACAACGTAGTACGAGAATTAAGGTGACAAAACTGAAACGAGTACTGTATACACTTTTCAGTGTCGCCGCACGCTCGCCTGCACCGAACGGCGTATGACGTCATTTCTGCGGCGCTCACGAACGGCGCGCAATAGTGTTAAAACTTTTACTATCATTTTCTGTTCATAATTGCATATTTCCCCACATGCAATACTTACTGGCAGCTCCTTTATCCTTTCAATTTAAATAATAAATGAGCCGCTGCATTAGTTAGCATCTATCTTAGGTAATAATTACCTTTAGCAATGTAAGAATCTTTTGCGACAACTGATAGTCAAAATTTTGATATGCAGATTCACTCATATCATATATAAACACCAGACCACATCTCTGCGTCTCTGTGGACTCAAGGGCAGCATCCAACTGGTAAACAACTCCCTGGAGTGTGGTCTGTTGCGTGGTTGCTCTTGGGTCGTGTAGCCGAGCAGTAAACACAGCTATGGCTGCACCCGATTCATCACGACACGGCTGCAAGAAGAGCTAAGTAAATTACTTTAAATAATTACCTATAACATCAAGATAAATAAGCATAAACTATATCAGCCATCATCAAAAAACAAATTTATTAAAGAAATGAATACACAATATATATGATAGTACAATATAAAAAGAGCAAAGAAGAGATGTAGACGTAATAGATGAGAATAGATTAGCACAATGATAAGTGGAAATGATTAATTACGAGTAGAATCAAAAAATATTTTGGATTACTTTCTCAAAATACACATTTTATAAAATATTAAATAAAAATACAAATAAAATTCTTAATTAAAACTTCTGTAGCACAAGAATCCACCAAGATTGAAAATATCCAAAATACAGTAACAGAATTATACTGTATATGGCATTACTAATGCAAGGCATCAAGTCAAACATGTGAGACAACTGTTATATTGAATCTTGATGAAGTGGTTTGTGATAGATGGGGCTAGCACAATTGTGCCTAGTGTCACCACCCAAATGAGCCAACTTGAAGTAAAAGACTAAAATTTGAATTGATATAATTAATAGTTACTGTCAACAGATCTCCCACACCGATAGTCAAAAAGTACCTGGCCCGGGGACAACTGAAACACACTCTTTCACCTCCTCTCCTCAGGAGAACTGACCGCCAGAGAAAATAACTCTGGCAAAGAAGTGCCTTTGCCGAAAGCACTAGAATATATGACAAACCCCAAGATCAGAAGCCAAGATGGAGAGAACAAGTGATATACAATGTGAAGGGCATACATGCTTGAAAACCATACATAATTGCATATAACCCCTATGCAAATAAATGTGGTCCAATGGGCTACCAAACACTTCAATTCAAGAGGCTTGTCACCTGGCCCAGGTGTGGATTAGCCTGCTGCCTGAGGCAGATGCGGGGAAGTCATTGATGTATATTAAAAGTTTAGTTTTGTTTTGGAATTTGGCAATACGTATTGCAAAATATTTCTCAGATTAAAGGCCTTGTGGCCTGCTTTTTTATTACACCGAAGGCAGTTTGCCTCAGCTTTGAGTTCATCTTTGAACTACATGTGCTCCCTGTCTCAGAAGGAGTGAGATTTGCAAGCAACCTTGTCCCTGATAGGAAGCGAGTTTCACTTCTGGTGCCCAAGCTCAGGGAAGCTACTACAGGGGTAGCACAGAAAAAGTGTTATTACAAGTGTAAATTACAGCACACTTTTGCATGAGAACCCTTGTTCTACATTTCATCAGTACACTGTACTGTAGAGTACATATTCAACCTACAAAAGGTAGCAAGGTATTAAAAAAAAAAAAAAAAAAAAAATAGAAATTGAAGAGACGATGACATTTCAGTCCATCCTGGACCATTATCAAGTTGATTGATAATCGACTTTATAATGGTCCAGGACGGACCGAAATGTTGTCGTCTCTTCAATTTCTAGTGCGCGCTTTGCTCAACATTGTTATTCAGTAAATTGAAATAAAGAGTATAGAAATTTATGAAAATTTTGGAAGTGTAAAAAACAAATGATTTTAAAATTGCCTAAATTGTAAACTAGGAGATGGAGATGAAAAAATCTTAACTTACAAGAATGGTGAATTTTCCTGTTCCTAGTTCTGTCTGAAGTGGATCACAGGATGGATTAAGGTTTACAAGTCCTTCTCTATGTCTTGTAGCTTCGTGTTGCTCATATAAACTCACAGCTCTACAAAAACAAAATGCAAAATAAGCAGGTTCAACCTTGCAAATTGAACAACACTTATGTGATTTATGAACTCTTATTCAAATGCTTTACAGTTCTTCAGATATTTATACACAGTATACTAAACAGTTTCCTTAGAAATGCATAAAATGGAAAATTTATTATTGTAGCCAATTTATGAAGCTACAGTTATGCCTAGTTTCATATGTAAAGCACATCTTATAATACAAATATTGTGATATACTGTACATAATTATTTATTAAAATTAAAAGTCCTCCTATCTCTACATACAAAGCATTGTACCGTATGGACACTGTAAATACAATGTGTAGACATATCACTGGATAAAAGTACATGTACAGATAGAATCTCCAAAGAATACCTGATCAACCAGGCCATGATTCAAACGACAGGCTGCGAACAGCCGCGTCCAACAGCCTGGTTGACCAGTCCAGCAACAAGGAGGCCTGGTCGAGGATCGCGCCGCTGGAACGTTGAGCCCCGAAAACATCGTAAGATAACACTACAGTGATAAAATTTCATAAGTTCATTGCAGTAACAAAATCAATTCATATATCGATATACTACAGAATACAATATTTTCTAACGATTAACAGTACCCTTTAGTTTTAGTGTAAGAAAAATATATTTGTTTAGCGAATTTCTCAATGAAACATACAGTACTTTGATTTATCTGGCTGTAGACCATTCTTACAATATAAATGACAGTCTTTACTGTGTGAGCGAGTGTAATCTTTTAAGATTTTTTTTACATTGAATGGCATCATTAACTTAAGGTTATCTTGAGATGATTTCAGGGCTCGGCATCCCTGCGGCCCTTTTTGTTACACCCCACCCCCCCCCCAGGAAGCAGCCTATAGCAGCTGTAACTCCCAGGTACCTATTTACTGCTAGGTAAGAAGGGCATCAGGGTGAAAGAAACATATTGCCCATTTGTTTCTGCCTTCACTGGGAAACGAACCCGGAACCTCAGGACTACGAATCTGAAGCGCTGTCCACTCAGCTGTCAGGTGTCCCATCAGTGGCATCAGTGATTTGGGAATACAATTTCATACATCACCTCTTTAGCAATTTATTACATGCAGTTTACTAATTGTGTTACTGTAACATAATGGCCTACTAGCCCATTAATCTAGACTTGTCATCTTACTGAGCAAACTAGGTTAGTTTCTATTTATTAAGCAGCATAAATTGTAAACATCGGCTACAAATAGAACCTCCAACTGACTTTCAATTTCAAACATCTGGGAAATAATGAAGGTATACCAACCTATCTCACATAGTTGTAGTTCCAGACCCATATTGATTAAACTTCTAAATTTTATAGTCTCTAGCTTCATTGAGTTGTTATGAATGTCACCATATGAAATGTAACAAGTTCTTATTTCTTGTGTAAAACATAATGCAAATATAGTACACATTACAAACTTATTCATACTTACCTTTATTTTACTCACAGATGAGGTGATCTTGAGAATTTATAAAGTAATGTCTTTGACTTAATATTGTTCAATATTAAAATTAAGCATGTTTTAATCTAAAGATGTGATTCTGTATTACATTTCTGTTCCATAAAATTCCCTATATAATTTTTTTAGCTTTTTGTTAATGGTTAATGCTCTGAAGTAAAGTGCAATGTAAGATTGAGTGAACAATGGTCCAGTAGGTTAATGCTACCAACAGGACGAGATGGTCGTTGAGTACAAAATAATATTGGTGCTACAACCAAGTATGTCTGAATGACATCTGGAATAAATACTGTACAAGAAATATTTTGTAAAACTAAATGTTAAGCAGGTAAGGTAAGGTTTGGTAGATGTGGTGCAACAAATGGTACAAGATGACAGGAAGCGAAAGATCAGTTGGTAAAAAAAATTAGGTGGATTTCCTGAACACAAAATAAGGCTTTTATGACTATGAAGAAATAATACAATTAAGTCAACAGAGAGAGACTGTGGAATGTGGTAAGCATTTGTGGAGTTGATCGACTGTTGCTAAATGCAATGACAAAATTCTTATGAAGGAAGATCATTTTTAAGAATTAGTAGGGCAGAGTTTTAATGAGTGGTTTTAAACGATTATACTGTAAATGTAACCAAGATCGTATGATATTTCCAGGGTTATTAAATGTTTAAATGGATGTGGTTATAAGGAACATCAGCATAAGGACTATCAGAGAAGGATATAAAATTAAAATTATGAGTATTGTAGGAGTAATTGGAGTGTATTCAATTTGATTTACAGTTTGCACAGAGTAAGATACAAAATGTGTAGATTAGTCGAAAATTTTCTTGATATGGGCAAGTGAAGATTTTAAGTGAATGTAGTACAGTAATGATAGTAGAGACGTTAAATTAGGGATAATGGAGAAATACTGGAACCTGCTGATGTGTTGAAAAACTGTACTAGGGATGTTTGAATATTAATAAAGGAGTGTGCACAAACCTAAGAGTAGTCAGAGAAGAAAAGTGGCTGGTGAAATAAGGACTGGTCCAAGCTTCATGTACAGATGTGACACACTGGTGTAGAATGAGTATGACCAATCAAGAGCAGTAGAGATCCAGTGTTAAAAGGACAGATAGAATATGCAATGATAATGTTATGGAAAGATGTGGAGTGTTAAATTCAGTAAATCAGAAGAGTTGGTTATATTTATAGGGATGCTTCATCACTTATAAATGATAAGTGATGAAGTGTGTATTTGAAGTCAAGATGAAAAAGAAAAGTCAGCAGGATGATTACCAGACATTGTGAATATGTGAGGAAGTGGAAATTAGGAAGGAGTAGCACTATACATCTAGTTGTATCAAGTATGGTGTCTTGCTGTGATCTTCTGCAGAAATTTGTTAGTGTGAATTCTAGTAAATAAATATTTAGTGCAGAAGATATGGTAAATAGATGGGGGGTGAATGTAGAAAAATCCAACTCTTTTTTCCTATACGTCCTCTTTCTTCTGGGATGATACCACAACACCTTATGAAAGTGGGACACTAGATAATAATTACAATAAGTCAGCAAGTGAAGATGCAAGGATTGAATGTGAATGGTCCACATGTAGTGGTAGTTACCATGGCTATGTGGAAGCTGTTTGCAGGAGAGGAATAAATTTACACCTAGCCTGCAAAGTGGTCAAGATAATGTCATGGATGATTTTGTGTAATAAAGTGGTGCCAGTTCTTTGATGCTATCTTCCGACAGAGTAAAATAAAAAAGGGGGGGTTGAACTACCTGGCATTAGATTACTTGTATTGCTGTTGCTTTAATGATATAATTACTCTTGTACAATATTACAAACATTAAAATTGCCATAATGCTGGCATATTTTCAAAGCTTCAGCCATCATTTCAACTAAATTACTGGTATACAGTACTAAAGCTGTATAAAAGCCCAATGTAATATTAACTTTCAGTTGGAGAATCACAACACATACAGTATTTAACTTTATACATAGGCCTAAGCACTGCCTTGCAATGTATTTTGTAAACATACCTAGTTACATCAAACTTCCTTGCCATAAGAAACTTGACGGCAGTGTTCCATGACAGAGGTCCCACGTTCCGAGAACGTCGCAGTTCATTCACTTGCTCCACAAACTCTTTTGTCGCCTGTGGAATAAAGAAAAACTTTTACAAATTGCACCAGGATAATCAGGATCAATAACACCTGCCAGTTATGATAGCTTGAGATATTATATAGTGTACTGTAATTTTCTATCACCCTATATGAATGACACCCAGTATGGTACCCTCATAGATTCTGAACAGAACATTTCTTTGGGCAATGGTCTAGAAGTTGTGAAATATATTTTTCCCGTTACTTTACCTAATACTGTAGCATTACCATTTACAGTATTGATTAATCTACAGAGATGAATTGATGGGCATAGCCTGCAGCTAACTGCAGTACCACCTCGCCCCATGGAAGAAAGGCTTCCCAAACCCTCATTCACCAACTCCTCTTCTCGTCTCATTTGCCAAGTAGGTTCACACAGTAACACGCCATTCATTAAATTTCCTGTTGCTTTATTACTTGCAACACCAGATTAGTTGCATTTACCTTAAATTTTCAAATGACTTTTTACCTGTAATGCATTACAAATAGAATTATGCATGGTTATAGACTACTGCCTCAAGGGAATACCAATTACAGTACAGTAGTTTACTTTTTAGCCGTGATATTCATCAAATTAAAAAAGTAGCCATTCACTGTGAAATTCAGCTTTTCCATAAGTGCCTTGAATCCTCCCCCCCCCCCCCCTAACAAATTATATCTAACCAAATCCTCACCTTTCTTAACTGGTACTTGGACCCAGTACCAGTACATGCTGCCACATATTAGTGACAATTAAACATCAACCCAAATAGTACCACCTGACTTGTCATAAACTGTTTTCTAGGATAATCCTATTTCTATGATTTATTTGACATAATTAAGGAATCATGTTTTGCACACTGTGGCATGTTTAAAAGTACAAAACAGTTTTATACTTATTTTTTATTTATTATTTAGTTATTCTACTGCCCCATGGGTGCTGCTGGAAGTGTAGTTGTTCTGACAATGCGCGACGATTTATATTTTGAGTGGGAAGTCCGTATAAACAACTGGGCCCTACCCTTCAGACCAAACTATTTGCCTGGCTTCTTGCACTGAAATGTGTACAAGTCTCCAAACTTGATACATTAATTGTAAATGACTAACATCCTTAATTACTCTCAACTCTTAAGACAAAACTGTAACATGCTCGTGTCTGAAGCTAGACACAAATGCAACAAAATTATTAATGATGGTAACAGTGTCCATTTCATGTGGACCCAATCTCATGTTGGCCTCCGAATGCATGATAAGAGCTGATGAGCTACCCAAAGAATCTGCCTTTAAAGGAGAAATCGAGTATAACTTTGGATTGTCAATAAGTAGTCTGAGAGCAATAGTATACCAAGAACTTCAACAAAATCTTTTAGATTTGAGGCAAAGTGAAATGGACACAGCCAGTAATTCCATCTATCTTACTATCATGCAAGAGGAGATACACATCTATGGATCATCCAATAATATCAGCAGACTCCTAGATGTTACTACTGCTTTGCTTAGACTCTGTTACAATTATCTCTGTGAATTCATTATCTGCTGATGTACTCGCCTAGTTGTGCTTGTGGGGGCTGAGCTTTGGCTCTTTGGTCCCGCCTCTCAACTATCAATCTACTGGTGTACAGATTCCTGAGCTTCGAGCTCCATCATATCTACATTTGAAACTGTGGGTCCCCAGTTTGCTAACTGTACATAGTAACTAAGTGATTGTAACCTATCTGCTGCTGCCCACTGGATGTGGGCAGTGTGCAGGACAAACATATCAATTGTGACACTAGCTCTCCACATGTCAGTTGCTTAATTTAGAAACTGTACTTGTGGTCGGTCTCGAGTCCATTGTTGATGTGACGATGTGTATTGAATTTTGTAACTCATCAAAATTGTAATGTGCTTAGCTAAATGAATTGTGGGGTTCAGTCCCTGAGCCAATTATGTGCCTCTGTAACCCTTTCTACTACCACCCACAAGATGGGCATGAGGTGCATAATAAACGAAATAAAATACTATTATAAATACTGTTTGTGTAACGTACTGTAGTGAACGTACATTGTAGACAATTTTTTTTTAATTCTTTTACAAATTTTCTCTTGTACAAGATTATCTCCATCATGAGTGCTATAATGATATTTGATAAATATGAAAAATACTTATTAGAAATATAATAAAACAAGGAAACAATAGAAATCAATGTGTGTAAATTAGAATGTTGCTTCAATTTTGCCTCTAAAATATTTGTAACAAATGCCTAATGAGAATGCTTAATGACTGTTTATCATAACATTACATACATCAGGAACGGACTGGTAGCGTTACTTGGGTCACGTTATCTATTGTGGAATTGCAGAAGCCCTAACTCAAAACCTTTTTTTTTTTTTTTAATATCAACTAAAATGCACAATTAAATTTCATCATAGAGTGTACTACAATGTAAATGAAAAAACACTCCTCTTTCCATAATTACTCCATAATTACAATTGGTAATTAATCAAATTTATATAAAAAATATCCCTTGCCAAGTACAGCAATATGCTTATGGATTGTATTTATGAAATAATATACATGGAACAACTATGGTCTGCATTAAACAGGCCATTTTTTTATATTACAATAGAGTATATTATCAAATCATTGTTTTATTGAACAAAAATTGTATGATTTTTCATTGGAATATTTGAGAAAAAGAGTCTTTATTTATTTACTAGAATTCTAATTACAAAATTCTTGAATCCCAAATAGACTCGCTGGAGAATTACAAAAAATAAACAAGTACTTATTGTACTTGTTATAACAAAGGAGTTAACTATTATGTTATGATTTATGCTAGAGTTCTGTATAGCCACCATATTCAATTTTAGAGCACAGTCTATTCATGGTACATGTAATTCAAATTACATGGGGTCTACCACCATTCATGTTAGTCAATTTTGTTATCCAAAAAGTCCAAAAATGAAAAAATTCAAATTTAAGCCAGTTTTTGTTCAGCAGACTCTCAGTATCCTGAATTTCTATTAGAGTTGAAAAGTAATGAACTACTGTACAGTACATATATATAGTTTATTCTGGTTTCTCATTCAGTATAACCTTTTCATTGGAAGTCCTATTTGGTTAAAAGGTAAAAAAAAACTAATTTGAATTAATTCGGATTACAGTACAATACTCAGATTTTAGTTACTGGAATCTGAAATTCCTGAGCTATTGCAGTACTGTACAGGTATTATGATCTAATTCTGACAAACTTTCATGCCAGTATTTATTAATATCATCAGCCTCCAAATCCTCATTGTCCTTAATGACACAAGGTATTATTTCATACTAGAATGTGCTGTATAATTCTGGTTGGATTGGGTTAGGCCACAGGTTAGATTTGCCATTATTGCCTCTGCTCAAATCACACCTCTATAAATGCTTCATCCACATACTGTAAATAAAAATAATGGCCAACAAACCTAACCATCTAACTTAACCTATTTAAGGCTTAACTATTCAACACATTCTAGTATGAAATAATATTACCTTATACTGTATATGAGAAAATACAACTTTGAATATGCAGTACACTGACAATGATGAATGTGGCTTTGGGTTTGGCCATCGCTTGGACGAGCCTAGCCTGAGGACAGGTAGCCAAATAAATTGATTGTGCGTTAACAGTGGATTTGGTGGGTGGATTAACAAGCATTTGCCATTTGTTGATGAGGACGAGTTGTCACTTACGCACTACTGGGTAGACTTGAGAATACTGGTGATTGATTAATTGAGAGAGTAAGCTACTCAAGAGGTGGCACAGGTATAAATAGCCTGTAATGAACATTGGAAGTCAGGTTAACGATAGCCTGACTTCCAAGAAGCACAGGCTAGCCTGTGCTTCTTGCCCCGCTCCTGTGCCAGGTAAGTTACGGGCTCGCCATAGCCCGTGCTACTTGGAACTTGTTCCGAGTAGCTGAATCTATAACAACAACATTGGAGGTGACGGGAGACATCTCCTGTCACGCAGGGTCCAGTCGCACCTCCACAGATCTCCAGTATCAGCTCTTGATACTGGTAATGGCTCAAAAGGGCCACCACTTACGGGCTATTCATGCCCGTGCCACCTTTTGGGTGGCTTAATTCTTTATCAATCAATCATTGGAGCTCCATGGTTGTTAAATATCCATTATAAATCCTTTCCACCACTGCCCATGGGATGGGTATGGGGTGCATAATAAATTACTAAACATATCCTTTTGTCTTATGTTGGTATAATATTTTCACAAGTGCAAAATATGGACATAAATGTGCAGTCAACAGCTCGTGTAATAATTAAAGTATGGGGGTTTAAACTGGCCAGTTAACATTTTTCTCAAGCCTGCCTATCTTAATACTGTATTACCTAATTAAGATAATACCTATACCTTAATACCTATCCTAGGAAATGTAGATGTTTATCTCAGAATGTTTGGTAATATGTTTATTGTTTGTGACGTGTTTATATGCATGTATTAACACGATGTACTGAACGGGGTGAGAATAGCTTGAGCTACCTCATCCCTTTGAGTGTATTTTAGCTCAATAAACTTGTTTCAATTTCAATTCAATACCTATCCTAATGCTTCCTAACATAGTTCATTCTAATTGAGCGTCAACTGTATATAGAATAAGGACAAGGATGTAGGTGTGTGTCCCGAGCAGACTGCGACACCTCTGGAGCACCGTCTGTGTGTAAGACAGGGAGGTGTTGGTGATGACCTTGACCGAAGAGGTTGTCGTCGTCGCCGCCAGCATCCTCACCACCACCCTGGTTGTCATGACGACCACTCTCCCCCACCCTCCATCAGGCGCCCACCACGCCTTCCCACAGCAAAGGTGCATGGGGTCCTTTACTACTGTCTGGTTGATACCTGGTCACTTTCTATTTAACCCACCAACACACTCAGCAATTAACACAAAACTAAGGATTTTTAACTATCTCTTACCGATATTAAAATAATTTTATATATGCGCGATTTTAACCTTTAATTTCGAGATGTCTACACCTGCA